CCCACAGCCCGGTGCCGCTGCTCGGCGGCATCGCTCACGCACTTACCCCCGTCATTCATCCGTCCATGTCCTACCTGCAGCTCTGTCACTTCTACCACTGTCTTCAGCTACATGCCCAACCACCTTTCACACTGACAGGTGGCTGGCCTGGACTGCTTCACACATAACTGGAGAAATTATTAGTAATAAACATAATAAAAAATAGACCCACCTGTTCTTATCCTGCTATTTGTAAAGAAATGTCTTCTATTCTTTAAAGAAGTTTTTGTATTTCCCCCATTTATTCTATTTTTGCCCCAGAAGAGTCCATGACGTTTAATTCTGGAAACAAGGGAGCAGCCACCCACCTCTGATAACTCAGCCCTGCACAGGAGTAAAATGCTTCCATGATTTCCACTAGAGGAAAGTAAACTTCTATAAAGTCTGCAGAACAATTTCTTGTGAGGGGCAGAGATGCAGATATTTGTATTTCCTAAACAATATGAACAAAAGCAGTTACAAGCATTGGAATGACCCTGACCTGAATTCTTGCTCTGTACGTTGCCAGAGTTTATAACTTAAAAGCCTTCACAACTTGACTGTGGAATAGCTTCCTTAACCTTCCTCATTTTTTACCCAAATATCTTTCAACACAGGCACAGGTTTTCCATTTCAAGCACAAACTTCTTTCTTTTACACTTGAACATTCTGTGTTGTCTTCTGTTGTCAGACAGCAGAGGGATGTTTGATAAATGCTCTGGTACCTGCATTGTTTGTTCAACACCAGCGGCTGAATCCCTCTGTTCTCATTTCCTGCAGTCATGCAAAAAAAGGAAATTATCCCAAGCAGGGTTAATTCCTGGCACACAAGGAGCAGACCATTCCCCAACCACCATGCAACATCCAGCAGAACACACACAAAACGTTATTCTTTAGCTTCTTCATCTGCTTTGCTTCTTCATCTGCCTTCACCTGGCATCTGCTTCAGAGGAAACGTTACCCACTCTGGAAAAGGGAAATGTCTTTCTGGGAAGCATCTAGGTGAAAATTGCTCTATGGCTTCTTTGTCCTGGCTTAGAATAGCTCTTCCCATTCAATTCAGCACCAGTGAGACACCCATGGGAACTCTTTTGCTTCTCTTCTAGAGCAAGTGATGGCTTAGAACCTAAAATAGAAAGCTTGTTAAAGACAGTGGTAACACAATAAACAGCACTGTTTGTCACTGAGTGTTTCTCCTGGGATATTTCTCTTCAGGCTAAATATGACAAGCAGATCAACATATTTCAAAATCTCAAAACTGTCAACGACATCTTGGAGTATTTCTCTCCCTCCTCTCGTACAATGTCAACATATTTTATTCTCCACACACTTCAAAAATCAAACAACAACTTCAAGTTTTTATATGATCACTTGGTTCCAATTTTCCTTGTAATTTTTGGTACAGACTGTGTAACATGACAGGGTACAACATCTTGCATGGTAAAATACAGCTCTTAGAAGGTGACATGACAAAAAAAAAATCCACTATTGCAGTCCCAACAGCTGCTATGTTTATTTGTAATAATGGGCACGTTCTTCCTTCTTTTGCAATTCACACTGTCCAGTTTTGGATCACTGCAAGTTACATGTCAGGATCTTGGAATTTCCTGTGTAGTAATGAGTGCTGTCCCACTGAACAGTTAATGGTGCTATCCAAGAGGGAAAAGCAAATAAAATATTAACCATTCCATTATGTCCTTGTGCACAACAATAAAGGGAATAACTGTAATTTCTCTGGACATGAGGTCAGGAGGCATTCAGGGAGCAGCATTTATACCCTGGGAAGCTGCTCCTCAGAACCAACAGAGCAGATCCATCCCAGAGCCACGGGCTCAGCTGACACTGAGGAGCCTCAGGAACCCCCTGCCCACATTGCCATGGGCTTTGCCAGCTCTGCAATGCACATGCAAGGGTCAGGTCAGCACAAAACAACTGGAATGTTTGCTCTTCAATTCAATCCATTTGCTCCTATAATATCCTCCAAATGTGCCAGGGATTAAATCAGCCTCCAGTCAAAATCACAGTGAAGGCTTCATCAAATTAACCACGTTACCTTTGCTACTCTGAGTCCCCCTCAGACAATGGGAAGTTCCTGGAAAAGAGGCTCTCAAGCCAAGAATTCACTTATTCCTGCACCTTTCAGCAATTTTAAATTGCAAGTTTAATCCTATTATAGATCTACCCCAGAGGTCTCAATACAGGCAACAGTTCCCCATCTATTCCTGCTATTTAACTTCATTACAATTTATCCACATCATGTAAACATCCTCAGCTCAACTCCAAGTATCCAATTAAACCCACAGACAAATAACAGTTAAACATGGCACCAGAACGTTTTGTATCAAGCAGAGGATTAGTTTTATTTCCAGGCATGTGAAATTTAAGGCCAGATTTCTCAAGAATACAATTAATTTGGGAAAAAAAAAATCACCATCAGCACATGGTACCACTGCTTGTCCTCTCCTCACACAGTTTATTGCACACATTTTTGTCCAGTGCAAACAGAACAGGGGTGAACAGCACAATGACAGACAAGCTAAGACCTGCAAATATAAAGAGTTATTACAGATAAAGTGAACAGGAAATGTGATTCCATGCCCCGTAAAAAATAGAAATTTTCATCACATCTGGAGTTAACAGTCAAAATGGACAGTACCAAAGAGGAGTATAAATTGCATTAGGCACTCTGTTAAATGGAATAGTAGAAAAACCACAGGACTTTGAAGAAGCCACTTGAAGAACGTTAGAAAGGTTAAGGCATTACTGCAGGCTTTGTGTCCAACAGCTCCAGAAAGGGCACCTTTGGGTCACTGCAGGTTTCATCTCCTCTGCACCTGCAAAGCAAGAGGCACCTTCATTATTCCTTCATGGACACAGCTTGCTAACTGTAGGCCTGGCTGTTAAGCACAGCTATTTCCACTCCACAAATGCACTGAGCAGTGGTCAAGAACTGGAGATAATTCATCTGTGGGGATGTTTGCTTGGCAGTTTCATTTCTGAACTTACTGCAAGCAGTTTTAGTTACATTATAAGCTGGTAGAACAACTCTTTCCCTCCAATGTTTTCATTGCTGTAACAGCACCCAGCGAGCTGGATGAGAGCCCTTTTCCACTTGCACAAAGGCAGTTCCTGCTCTGAGAACACAGGCTGGGAATTCACCAAGCTAAGGAGAAAAGGCACTGCTGGATCACACTTTGGGAGAGTGCACAGCCTGGATTTACCATGGCTACAGAGCTCTGTGAGCTCCTGCACGCTGCCTTCCAAGCCATTAACTTGGGGATGCATCAAGTGAATTGCCAGAAAATCATCCCTTGGATGGGAGGGAGGCTGCCTGAAAACACAGAGCAAACTTGTGGGATTTGGCACAGATCAATCAAGCCAGCACATGCAGAGCTCCTCAGCAGAACACGAGGAGCTCACTGGAGCATTTTCAGGCTGCTCAGTTAAGTAAAATGGGTTTGCTTTAATCATCTTTATTTTTAAGGATCTTTCCACTTTGGGAGTTAGCACTTCATTTTCTTTGCATTTTCCATACTAATCCACACAAACCTCAACTGAAAGGAACAGGAGGCAGAAACAAGTATAGTACATCTCCCCTGAATGCTGGAAAAGCACAGCTCAAAACCCAGAAATAACTGGTTGCTACACTGATGGGAATCCATGCAGTGTCAGAGAGATATCCCAGCTCTTATCAGATGGAATCTCACTCCCAGCTCCTGTCTAGGCACAAACTCCACAGGAGCAAGGACAGGACATGGAGCACCTCAGCCCTGCACCAGCACTCAAACACTGCAGTGCTGTGACCTGGGACAGCACATTTCAAACAACAAAGAACAGATATTTTAGGATTATTAAATGCTTTTACTTTTCTAAACCTTTCCTTTTCAGAGGCAACAATCTTAATTTTATTCCAAAATCAAGCCAATAAAATCAGATGAAAGGTTAAAACAAATTCCTTCATGTAACGAAACAGCATGTGCTGTGCAGGGCTGAAATGCTCCATTAATAAGTTTAAAAATGACAGTTCCTCAGAAACTGCACTCAGCTTCAAACACACAGGTTCCCTCTCTTCCTTGGTACAAATTTAATTCCAGTTCTCTGGAAAATCCTTCACTGGAATGGAGGGGAAGGGCCTGGTTCTGTTAGCAGGAATCCAGAGGTTGTGTCTCAGCTCCTGCCTGTCCTTGCTGGTTTCAACACAGACCACAAAACCCAATTTTTCTGTCCAGATAACTCCAATTTCAGATCCCAGGCAACTGAATCATCCTATGGGATTCAGGGATCTTTGTGCCCATTACCAAAACACACTGTTCTCTGTTTTAGCTAACTAATTATATGTTAGCACCCAAGCAGTGAAAATGCTCCCAGGAAATTCTGCTTGACTGACTTGGCTAATTACAGGCCTGGTGCTGAAGCAGGGCCAAGTCTACCTTCAGCTTCTGCCTGGTGCTTCAAAGGAGCTGCAGACACACACACAGGCCAGTCTGCCAACAGCCCAGCTCACAGGAAACCTTCTCTGACACTGGGGAGCAAATGTGCAGGACACCTCCCAGAAAGCATTTAACAGAGCTGTAACATCAGCTGTCACTGCCTGCTGCACTGAGCTGAGACTGTGTTGTACAAGCACCAACACAAAATGTGTTTAATTATTCAGTTACCAGCTTAAAAACTATAATCATGGCTGCTTGTTTCCACATTTCCTTCATTTGAACCTTCAATTCCAAATGCTGCCCTCCTGAACAAGCCCAACAGCATCAAGGTACTCTTGGTACAAGACTTTATTTGTGCTGGCCCTGTCAAAAAGCCCAGGAACTGCAAGAACCACATTCCAGCAGCACTGCCCTGATAGCAAGCACCAGGCTCAGCTGGGAATAAAGCTGCACACAGGCTGTCATTAAAAACAAAATAAACCATCAAGCTGTGAGCTCAGGAGATAAAGAACATTCTAATGGCAGCTCCCATTGCAACTTCCCAGATGAATGAGGGCAATGCTGTGTTGCCTTGGAAATCAGGACAGGTCTTAGATGAAATGGTAGCAGGCTTGAGGAGAGGTTTAACAATTGGTAAAGATTAGGAAATCCACTTATGTTACCCAGTTCAATTGTATCTTTTTTTGAAAGTAATGTTTTGTTCTCCTTACAAACCCCTGAACACAGCACTACATAACAGCATAGAAAGAAAAAGGACTGTCAATAATTCAGTTCAAGCTTTTCATGTATCCAGTCAAGAACTAACATCCAAAATGTTTTCTTGCAGCTTACAGAAAGACAAATTCCTCCTACCAAAGAGCTACACTGGTTGATCACACTGCTCACATTACCATTCAATCTCTCCTGAGCTTTAACACACCAAATATATCAATAAATCTGCTCATACTCACCTGTCAGTGAGCTGCAGCACAGCACAGCCATCCTCAAGGCCAGTGGTATCTGAGGTACCAGATTGTTTCATTGCTTAACTGAGGCCCAAAGAGAGGGTTGAGTTGAGCCAGAATTGCAATCAGCCAGCTGCAAGAGAACCCCCCAAGCCAACAGAGACAAATCAGCCAAAGGACAGCCTGTGACAATGGAAGGTTCTCCAAACACGAGGACTATCAAAGAAAAGGCTATTTCAGGAAGGTCTAGGTTCATATAAAAGTTCTACTCAAGGTCAAACACAAGGACCAGCCACCAGCAATGAAGTTATGGCACCAAATCATTCTGCAGCTGAAATAGATGGTCCTGCTCAACTGGAAGCAACACAAACCCACCTGCTAGCACTGCCCTTTTTTGACAGAAAAGTGTTTTGAGACACATGAAACTCAGGTATTTGGGGGCTCAGAAGCTGAAAACATAAAAGAGACAAGAGCTTTTTTCAGTGCCTTTGAAGCATCCTTTAAACAACAACCTCTGAGAAACATCCTCTCTCTCATTTGCCTCTCAGTGCACAACAACCTTGCAGACATGGTATATTTTTCAGAGGTTTAACAAAAGTGAATTTAAACCTTGCACAGGGGTCCTGGAGCAAAAGGGGACAAAAGAACACAAAAAAAGAACCCCACAAGAGTGACCCCAATATGACACAAACCCCAGATGATCAGCACACAGCCTTGTCACTGGGGCACAGCACAAACTAACACTGCAGAAGCCATGGCCAGAACTGAGAACAAGAGGAATGTAGTTTGTGGAAAATATCCAGGAAAGCTAAACAGAAATAAATATTCCACTCTTAAAAGATATATTTGCTTTGTAAACGTTACAAGAATCAGAAAAAGCAATGGATGCTTCCACGGATTTAAATCTATGTTAAATACTAACTATATAAACACATTTAGTGAACACACTGGCTCATCTGTCTGCTATTTCTAGAATGCTTTGTAAGGAGGAGAAAAAGCAGAGCAGCTTTGTAATGGGAGCTGCCACAAATGTATCAGAGTGCTTAGGCAGTCATGGAAAATTCCACACAAACCTTGATGCTCTGACCAGCAAACCAAGTGCAGGTCGGCTGCCTGCAACAGCCACGGAGGCAAAGCTGTGGCTCAGACTTCAAGAAAACACATCAATCCTCCTCAAATCTACCAAGATTTCTGTGCAGTTTTGCAGGGGGTAGAACTCCAGCTAAACCAAGGAGCTGAGCCTGCAGCAGCCCATCAGTCACACCAGCCTTGGAACACATAGCAGGCTCTACAGAGGAATTAAAACATCAGCAAGACACCACTGAGAGCAGCCAAAAACCTTTAGGCTGACACGTTTCTACTCTGCCGTCCAAAGCAGTGACAACAATGTATTTTGAGCCCACGATGTTAAATCTACTTAAGAGAATAGCAAATTAGCTGTTAAAATGATCAGGGGATTTCTTTAGTGAGGGTTAATTTTTCAGATCCAAGGAGCACTGTGCTGTGGGATCTCAGGATCTGAGTCCTGAGGTGCCGAGCCACCGAGACCACCCTTGGGGGGCTCAGGAGTCCTGGAATGTTCCAGAAGTGTCTGGTGGCAGGACTTTGACCCTACACAGGAGACGACACTTGTATGAGGATAGGAGGACTTCACCGGGGTGAATGGTGAAGGGATTGGTTAATTAGAGGGTGAGACACAGGGTTTAGGATTTCTGTACAGGGGGGTTTAGAGAAGTAAGATGGGAGGAATTGGGGCGTGTCCTGTCCTCCTTCTTCTTCTTCTCCTCCATCTTCTATGGTGATGGTGGCACTTTAGGATTGGCCATTACTAAAAGTGCACTGGGCAATAAGAATAAATGGTATTGGGGAAAAATGATAAATATTGTACACGTAACAATGGGTATAAAGATAGGTGACTGTCCGGAGGGCAGCACAGTGTGCTCATGGCTGACTGCTGAGCAGACCTCTGTCGGGCTGAAAGAACATCTTTTAGATAAACAATTAATAAACATAAAAACCGAAAGAAGAACTGAAGCCTCTTCTCGTCCTTCGATACGCGGGCTGCCCCAAGGCCACCCCGGGCCTTTCCAGGCCCCTCAAACAGCCGAAAACCCGACACTGTGCCATCTGCCTCCAGCATCCTGAAGTAACACAAGTGGGAGGAGGGTAGAACACCAGAAGCCTGGTAAAGCACATTTATTCCTTTTGTTAGCAGAGCAGGAAGGAACTCCCTGCATGAATCCCTCACCTCCCGAGCTCGGGCCCAGCAGGGCTGTGAGTGAAACGAGCTGGGAGCACATTGGGAAGCTCAGCCTGTGGGGGCAGGCCTGGGGAACAGTGTGGAGGTTTAAAAGGCATTTCTTGATTTGCTGGGGCCGCAGGACAGCTGGGTGCCACAGGGCAGCAGCAGCACAGCCCTCCCCTGCCAGGGTGAGCAATTTAAAGCAGCTCTTAGGCTGCAACTGCCTGGCCTTCATGGAAAAGCTTCTCCCATGCTCTGCTTCAGTGATGCTGCTTTATACAACAATCCAGCAAAGTGGATTCACAGTAAAACAAACCTCTGTATCCAAGGTGCAATGTTCCAGAGCTGCTAAAAGCATCCGAGCCACCCACAGGTCCTTAAATTCTACCAGATCCCACTTAGAACAGTTACTGGTAATTATCCAGCTCAGACAAGGAAATTAAAGTCCCTTCTGTTGTAGCAGAGATTTTTTTAAAAGGTCTTCCCACCACAACTGCCATCTGTCTGTGCTCGTGTTACAAATTAAGGTCCTGCTATCTCTGTTTAAATGTCAATTTGGGCATCCATATTTTAATCCTGTTCGAATCAGCAGCAAATAATACAATTTTCCAAGCACCCTGTCCCCTGTTAGGACATGATGACACTGTTCAGGAACTGCTTTGTGCACAGCAAAACAGATTTAGTACCTGAGAATATGGTGTAACCTCTAATTTCTGCAGCAGTAACTCCTTGGACTTTGCCTTAGATTTTATGAGGTTCCTGAGAATGGTTTATTCTTCAAAAGGCTGCTGGGTACAGGAGCTGTACACAAATCAGATGCAAATATTTTTCACAGAACAACCAAATGAATCCCATGTAATTAACATGGTTATTCAAATTATCACTGCTAAATCTAAATACAGGAGGAACAGCTTTAAGTTGAAATGTATTGACTGCTAATTAATTTCAGTGAAAACCAATTTATTAATCAAGTGGTGTTTAATGAAGACAGGAAATTGTTTTTTCCCTACTTTGAACTGGAAAGGTGACTCAAAGAGTATAAAAGCAGCTCTAGCAGAGACTGAACAGCTCTGCAGAGGAACAGAGACAGCACCAGCCACTGCTCAGGACACACAAATACCTGGGGCAGCAGAAATGATTTTATCCTAACAAATCTAATGAAGAAATCTCAGGAACAATTCTTTGGGCTTCTTTCAAGGCTGAATGAAAAATTAATCTCTTCCTTTAACCACCCAAAATTAGGGTCTCAAATGTTTTCAGTGCCTCGTCCCCAAAAGGAAAAGAATGCAAGAACAGTAAAGTTCCATATGTTTGAATAAAACAGAGGGAAAAGGTTGCACCAGATCTTTTGAGGTCCTTTCCTAAGAGGGCTCTTCTACAATCTTATACAGAATAAATGAGCAAATAAAAAATGAAAGACTCTGTGATGAGGCAAGTTCTGTCTGGAACACGGTAAGAAAAATCTGCTTTTTGTTGCATTCTGGCAAGAAGACATCACAAATACAATTTCTGTGGTTGGGTACAACTACAGATGGTTGAAAATATCCTAAGATTTTGCTGCCTTTTTTTTTCCCCCAAAGTGTAACTGGAGAAAGCCAAAGGAAATTTGGGTTTCAGAAAAGAAGTAAGAGCCCACAAAATTAGCAAAGAACCCCTGGACACACAGGAGCAGTTTATAAAACATATAATAAAATTATATTAATGTTATATTGTTATAATGTTAATAACATTAGGCTTTATAATGGGTCTGTTTAGATAAAATAATCAACTAAACCTACAAGTCACACACCACTGTACATCTGAAGAGTTCACAGAATTCAGCCAAAGTTAAGAAATTCTACAAGAAATACATTTCCCATCACAACCCAGAGGATGCTGCAGATGCCACACAGCCTCTGCTTCAAGGAAAATTCTCCTTCAAACAATGCAAACACCAAACCTCAAGGGTTTTACAAAAGTGGGACATAATTTCTGGAGAAAAACCCAAGTGAGAACTTTAAATAAAATCAAAAGAAAGCTCAACCCTTCTCCTAATTAAAACCACCCAATTTACTGAAACATAAATGCAGCAACCCAGTAAAAATCACCAAAAAATTGTTATGAGACTGGGCTGCCACAAACTTCATGTGCAGGGCAAGGAGACCACCACAGCACTGAGATTCCCAAATTTCAACCCCAAATTCAAGCTGCTTGCATAAATTCTCACATTTCTATATTCACTCAGCAAAACTTAAATTTAAAAATTTTTGTGCATACGAAACAGAGCCAAGTTTGCTGGGCTTTTGCAGTTAAGCAAGAGTGAATTCTTAGGAGTTCACATATGAAATACTCTGAATAGAAATAAATTTTCTAAAGTGATACTAACCCTGAGTATCACACTATTAACCTAAGCCAAACCTGTGTCAGTTGTTAACCCAACAGGCCTCTCCTGGAACATGGAACACTGAGGTGCATTTCTCCAAATATTCATATTCAATTCCTTTGAACAGCATAAATAATGCCTAAATAGTTCAGGAAAGTACAAATACCACTCAGGTTCAAATGGAACTCCAAATAATAATTTTTATAACAAGTTAACCCTTAAGATAAACCAGATTTTTCCCACTTTACTCTCCATAACAAATTCTTTCAAAGTTATTTCTGCACAGCAGTTTTTTACAAGATCAGTCTCCACAGTCTTTAAAAAGGAGAGAAAAACAGGTGCAAGATTTGTCTTGCAGTCTCCAGCTAAGCTGGCTTAAATCCTGATAAAAAACATTACATGAGGAGCTCTTAACAAGTCACTTTGGAATTGCTACTGAATCTCCTACAGAAAGGAGGCAGCCTCAAAATACACTGTGCATTTAAAGAGAAATTGTCTTAATATATCAAAGCCCACCATACAGCAGCTTTCCCACCCACCACTCAACCAGATTTTGAGAATATATTCAAGGAATTTAAAAGCAAAGCTGTTCAGTGGGTTTGAGTTAGAATTAAATATAAAGTGGAAAGGGAAAAGGCAAAAAAAAAAAGCCCAAGAATCAGGAAAATCTTAATTTGTCATTATACTTGTGAACAAATGAGGAAGGGAACTGGAGAGGAGGAACAGCAAGTCCATGCAAGGACAGCTCACAGCCATGTGTCAGAGGAGGAATTCAGGTTTTCTAATTCAGCATTTTCTAATGGGAAATTTCTTCAGCACACTGAAGGCCTTTAGAAGTCAGAATTCCAAGAGCTGTGAAAGAACAGGTCCAGATCTCTGTGACACATTCAAAAAGCCTCTAACTGCTCTGAGGCTGTAAAAAAGGAACTTGTGATTCCAAAAGGAGTGGGCAGGACAGTGTTTGTACTTACAACAGGTAGCAGCAGACAGCACAGGTCACCAGCATGGTGTTGATAACTCTGCCAAGAGGAAGGAGAAAGGTGATCAGCTGTGGTGTTGTGACTGAGCACAGGATCCACAGAGAAAACCCCACAGCAAACTCAACTTTGATCATATGAAAGATGACTCAACATGAACGTTCTGGCTTCTTCCAGCTGAGTGAACTGCAGAGCTCAGATCTGCAGGACTGACACAGCTCTGCCAAACACTTCACAGCTGCATGGAACAAAATCACTGTGAGCAGCAGCAAAACCTGATGCAGTGTCCAGAACATCAGTCTGGATGCACACTTTCTCCATTTGCAGAATTCTAAGAAAGTTTTAGTGTCAAATTGTCACTTTTAATTTTATATGATGCATGAGGGGGTTTATAAACTGAATACAAAATAAAACCTCAAAGCTGTAGTGTAAAATTTTCTTTTCTTGGTGAAACACAGCTGTGTCAGAAACCACTGGAAAGCTGAAAAGAAGGAAGAATCAAGCTCTTGAAATTGCAGCTACACACACACAGATGGGTTTGAAATGGAAGGAGAGGAAATGAGATATTCTGCAGCTCATGGAACTCAGTGGCAAAATGGAGTGGGCTTTTTTATTTCAAAATTATAAAAAGGCATTTCCATCTATGTATTTCCTCCTCCAAATGAGTAACAAAATGTCATGGGAGGTCAGTAACTTCTGTTGGTGAGGCACAGAATTCCCACACTCCCATGCCTGGAAGCCTTTTTTCCAAGGTATTTCTGAGGACAGGCAGGTTTCCAGGCATGAAACACATCAGCTTTGGAAGTGAGGCAGGAAATATCAGAGCTTGAGGAATATTGAGGGTTTAGATAAAGAACTGAGAGAAAAGACAGCTGGTACCTGTGGAGTAGAGGGAGTGTCAGAGAGAGGGAGAGAGATTAAGAAGCCATTATCTCCTAGAGAAAAGAGAAAGACAAAAACTTGTCTGCTTTTTAATCTGAGCAGCCACAACCACTGCAGGAAAAGCATCAGCTTAGAGGCCCAGCTGCTGTCCTCAGCTACAAGGGCACCAGCACACATTTCACCCAGAAATCCACCTCTGCAGCCCTTCCAGTCTCACCCAGTGTGGAACCAGAGAACGGTGGAAAGTTAGGAAAGGTCAAGTAAGGAAAGAAAGAAAGAGGAAGTTGTTGTTTAAACACCGCCTGACAATGAGCCACCTTGACACAGGACGCTCTGCCTGCAGAGCTTTCA